GCAATACTGGTTAGATGTTTACACATATATATTGAGCAAAAGATATCTCCTTATCTGCTAAACGCATATAGTTTTTGAAGTATTTTTTTTTTAAATCGTTTAATTATAGTGTCATCATCCACACAGACTAAACAGAATGAAGGAACTCTTCTTATTGATTCGATTATTTCTCAATCAAAACAATTATTAACTAAATCATGCTCGTTAACTAGTCAAAATAAGCAATTACGATCTCAATTAGTGAAACAAGTAAAAGATGTGGACTACATGAAAAGGCAAATGCAGTTATTATTACAAATGGAACAAGACGACAACAATAGACAGATGCGATTAGTCTAAAAAACATTTCTTTTTTTTTTGTATAGTATATCAGTTAGGTTTCAATTAATATATTAATGAAAAAAACGATAAAATTTCTCGTTTTTTCTCTGTACAATTATTATGTAAACGATGACAGGAGAAATAGTCATGTATTGTGAAAGATAATTAACTTTTCAATAACTTTTAGCTAAAAAAATTAGATAAATTTTTCATTTATTGAGTTGACGTATTCTTTCCACTGCCACTTACGATTTTCGACCCTGAATGTGATGAAAATAGTAACTACGATGAATTGAACTTCACAAAGGAACACTGCTGACATAAAGTCCCTTCAATCTACCACAATATATACTCTACTTGGTAAGATTTATCTTATTTAGAAAATCTTACTAGATATTGAGGTGAGATACGTTTCCAAGACATACTTTGTATTACGTTTTTTTTTATTGGTTTTTGCTTGTGTAAACTGGCGAAAAAAATAAAATGAGTTTAAAATTATTTATAAATCACTCTATATTATAAACTCTTCAAAGCGATTATCGTACTTTTTGGCTATACCGGCGAAATAAAGATTCCGATTTATATTTTATCTTAGTTTTTAAATATATTAATTTTAAGAGACATTGAGCAGATGTTGATAGATAAAAAGAAAAAACCGGACAATCTAGATGCAACAATCCTGATGAATTCTTTTCCTCATCTTGCCTGCAAGACAGTATGGCTTAGGACTATGTTGTTCATCACAGTTAGACTGATCTTTTCGTCAGAGCTGCAGCTGATGACTACTGAACATATGGATGATCATATGAGAGGCTTGTCAACTGTAGGAAAGATATCGCTCTATTGAAACTACCATTTGTCCTTGCCCTGTATCGATAACGATAGTCGCAAGATATTCTTCCTCATCTTGTCCGATTGAATGAAAACAGCTATAAGACTAACTGTTCATAATAGTAGGTTGATTTTGTTGTAATATATGCGTGAGGACATGCTGATTCAGATGCACTATTTGTTAGTTTCAGTCAACATTTATTATTAATAATTTTCTCTAAAATTGCTTCCGGTTTTGGAGTATGAGCTATTTTTTATCGTTTAGAATTAATTAGAGCCAAATAGTTTCGGAGTCTTTCGTCTGAGTTTGTATTGGTAACTCAGTTGAATTGACAAAATTATCATTTCCATCTAGTAGACGGTATAACGCATCTAGAAATGCAATGAATTCAAATGTTGGTAATTTTTTACCATACTTTTCTTGATAACGATTGAAAATTAGTTCATATTCTTGTTTATAATAAAATTTTAAATGTTCAGCATAGAGTAACAACGATGTTCCACTATGAAATTCATACAAAACTTTCAGATCATTATGAATATGATTAAAATCAAACCACTTCGAAATATCATCTGACGTCCACTGTTTCAATAATTTCATCTGTTTTTCACTATTTACGGTTGTCGTCAAGAGTGATGGATATTGTTTTGATTTTAATATTTGTTTCGGTGGCTTTCTGGCAGCATCACTAATAATCATTTGGACTAATTCATTGGTTGCTGTCTCAATTGATTTTCTTCCAAAATGAATATATGTTTGCCCGGCAATTCTTATCCCTAGCCATCCGGTTGCTTTGTAATCTAACGGAGCAGTATTTGGATAAACAGGTATAATACGCTTTTTCATTGTATCAGTAACATAACACAGTTCTTGACGACATGATTTACTGTCGTAATACTCTTTTGATATAATTAATATAACAATGGACGCGCTTTCAATTGCGTGTGCTATCTCTTCCCAAACATCATCGGAATGAGATATTTTTGTGTGATTAGAAGCATTATCATGATGATGAAGAAAATCGACCCAGACATCAACTTGACCACTGGTTTGTAGTTTTTCAACTAGTTCTTTACAAAATGTTGTATTACCATGTGAATAACTAATCATTACCAGAGGACGAGAACGATTACTAATTATAGTTGATGTTGGTAATATTGGTAATGTTTTATCTTCAATATTCCAGAGAATACCGTCTGTAGCTTTCTTTATCGATGACAAATGTCTCGGTATGTAATCGTATTCTATCAAATCGATATTATCATTGGCTAATGCTTTTATTATTGTCATTAATTCTTCATTATTCTTTAATTTTTGTTTATATTTGTCTTGAAATGATATACTCCATAATAAATTACATAGAGTTACAAGCGAGAGTTGATCAAGTTTATTAATATCATTTGAATTGATAAGATAATTATATATTTTAGATAATAATTGACAAAAAAAATCAATAGTATTTGATAATTTTTCATTTACTTTTGTATGATTCAAACAATAATCAAGAACCTCATCATTTATAAATAATCTTGTTAATACGACAAGTGGCTCAGATAAATGAAAAACAATTATATTTAAATTTATTATTATTAGCTGTATCTAATACGATTTGTAAAAGTTGATCAAATACACCGTAAAAATGTTCATTTAACTCTTTACATTTTTTTAATTCATCTGGTTCGAGTATCAATGACATTGTCATACATAACAGTACGCCTAATTTTGAATATTGTGTTTCTGATAATAGGGACTTATTCAACAAAACTTGTTTTTTATAATTTCGTATGGTTTCAAGTGCATTTTGATTATATAATGTTTGAGCACCAATATTATGTCGAGCAATACTGGTTAGATGTTTACACATATATATTGAGCAAAAGATATCTCCTTATCTGCTAAACGCATATAGTTTTTGAAGTATTTTTTTTTTAAATCGTTTAATTATAGTGTCATCATCCACACAGA